AGAGGGGCTTTAACGTCCAACTTTAAGTGAATTTCTGAATCATTAGTGACAGTCAAAGGAAGCAGGTGTTCACTGTTTCATAGTGTCGCAGCACATTACAGGGAAACTGTGGTGTTAGTGGTGCCAAATTTCCACTTGTTCAGCAAAGTTGAGTGCAATAACTCCACTTCAATCTTTGAAGAGTCTGCAAAACCTGAACAGAACACTTCATCTGCAGGTGTATTAACCTGGATTCTTCATGAAACATGTAGTCTGTTGTCTACAGAAGCACACAGAGCTGTTGACTGAAGTTGGCCCAAAGCATGTTTAACAAACTGCAGCACATCAACCGGACCAGAGCAGGTTTTCTGGTGACTGTTGGATGGTTCTGATGTTGAACCAGAACTCTGACATCAGATTCAGCAGCGCCGACCACAACAACAGGCCTTGTGGCTGCAGCTCTGGAGCTCCGGTCACCACTCCCACCCAGACCTCGTCCAAGTCAAAGCCTCTCTATCTGCTGCCCTCCTCCACTCCGCTCCGCTTTCCATCACATCAGCGCGTGGAAACGGAGCCTAAATGTCACTTTTATTCTGCGGATGAAGGCGTGATTTATGGGCGCCTGGCAGCCGACCAGGGAAAAGGAAAGCGAGGGGGGGGATAAACACTCTCATCCCGTCGCTCACGGGGGTCACGGAGCTCGACGGTCATTCGCGCTGAGGAGAAGTCTGCGAGTTCACTCTTTCCTGAGAGAGGGAGGGGAGAGATGACAGCAGCTTCTGTGCTGCGTGGAGGCAGATATTAAGCAGATTTGCTGGATTACAACAAGTGGCCTGTTAGTGACCACACAAACCAGAATCCAGCCCAAAACACACACATGTGGGCACCAGAAACCACAGCCACCAGTCATCTGGCTTCTGCTGGAAACTAACGGCAGCGATTTTCTTCCATTCAGGCCAAATTTTTGTTGAACTCTGCTCATGTAATTATTAGAAACAGAGCTTCTAAAAGACGTGCTGAGGTTTCAAGGCTGCTAATCGCTGGATTTGTTGAGTTTCTCTCTGTAATAGAATATCATAAAGTCTGGGCTTTACGGTGCAAACTGCACTACGTAAATAAATTTGGATTGAATTAAGGATTTCTGTACGACACAAAACAAATCCCAAACTCAAGGCCGCAAATCCACCATGAGGACTTTGCCATGACGACAACAAAAAAAATGATGTTATCCAGTTGGACAAAAGTGAAATTTAATCCGGCGAGGAATTACAAAACTTCGTATTTTCATTCCGAAGCGAGGCTGAAACCCCAACAGACAGCCGGAACGTCCGACCGCAGCAGCGATGAGGAAGGACGCTCTGACTCAGTGTTTCTTGGACCGAGTTCACGTGTTCGGAGAGAGAAGATCAGCGTCCCCCAAAACAACAGGTGCAGTCGACACCCGGCGGGACTGTGTCGGCGCATCACACACTTCAAACTCTTCTCTTCGGCACAAAATCAAGACGTTAAACTGTCACTTTTGGTTTGCATCATTTTTTGGTGTTTGGTGGGAACAGGCCCTTTTTTTCCCATCAGAAGTGATCCCTTTATAGACCGATGAGTCACCAACGGAGCAGATGGGATTTAAGTGCTACGATAAGCGAGGATTTGACTCGTCTGAGGGCTGCGTGAAAACATGGAGAGAATTTACTGCTACCTGGACTAAATCAAAAAAACAGAGACAAATATTTCTAATGTGAAAACTAAAAAAAAGTTAGCCAAGTTTTGAGAATATGTTCGACTTAATCTTCGCAGACAAAATTTCACTGCAGATTTTTTGACTTGTAACGACCATTTTTACAGTTTGTTTGTGTAAAAATAGAAAATAATTGAACGCAAATCTGCAAAACGGTGACACTTCATACATGGAGCTGGTGAAATTACTCTGAGATTTGAATTGAAAGCCTATTTGGATCTTATTAACTGTAATGTGTCGGTTTTTCTCACCCGCGACTCCTCGCTGTCGACCCACGGCAGAGAGTCGGCCTTCTTCACCGAGCTGTCGCAGGAGTCGTCCAGGCTCTTCATCGTCTTGTACTTCCTCATCATCAGGCTGTCGACCACCCAGAACATGATGGACTGCGGGAGGAGACGCAGGACTTGAGGCTACGGTTCACACAAAACCGTTTTTTTTTTTCTCTCCAATCATTAAAAGCGACACTTACGTTGACGATGAAGGGCACGATGAGCATGACCAGCACCAGCTCCAGCTGAGGGTTAGCGATGTAGCTCAGCAACACCTCCTGCAGCTGGAGCAGAAAGAGAAAACAGACGTGTGATGGGTGCTTTGAGCAACGTGTTGTCTGGTGAGGAAAAGCCTCCGATCTAAACCAACGACGGCACATCACGGTTTAAAAGGAAGTTCACGTCAGTGAGTCTGACCCACAAAAACATAACAAATATCAACATACACCGACAGAAAAAACGTGTGTAATGATCCCTGCCACGAGAACAAGTCCAGTCCTTGGAGACTCCACCTTGTAAATTCCAGGACTTAAAGGATCTGTGGAGTCCAGACCTCTAAAGATCAGAGCTGAGCGGGATTTACACACTATAAGGCAGGTGGCTTTAACGCTGTGGCTCATCTGTGTATGTTGCTATTATATTAATACCATAATAACAAGTGGCACGGCTGCTATAGAATTAGACGATTTTAAACGGGCCATAACCATATGAACAATAACCGGGAAGCTGCAGCCTGAGAGACGATGGTTTGACTTTCAACCGACCAGAACCAGCTCTGTTCCTATTAATAATATTTAAATTGTTTGTCAAACGCCATGGAGATGGTTTTTAAACACAGGAAGCAGGGTCACCAATAAAAACACGGGGATCTTTACCAAACAAAACTCCTTCTACAAACAGACTTCGCTCTGCCTTCCAGATCCATTAACGTTGCTTCGATATTTCCGCTGGAATCAAACGACAAGTCATTTCTCATCTTCTTGCTTGTTTATTCTCCCTCAAGTCTTGATGACTTTCATCTCTGGACGCTGCCAGGGAAGTTCAAACGACAACCAAACAGAGACGGTAACGAGAGAAGACCGACAGAAATGTGCTGTTTTTCTCATGAAGCCCGGCTCAGATGTTTTTCTGGGACGACATCACAACACGGACAGTCGCTGTGCTACACGCAGGCTGAGTAATTCTCACGTTTTGAGCCAAACGATGAGAAAAGAGGAACAAAAATGTCACAGCGGTAGTGCCCAGTGAGCTGTGGAGGGTTCTTACTTTGGACCATCCGGGGACGAGCAGCACCAGGCTGATCACACCTTTCTCCAGCACCATGATGAGCAGGTAGATGCCGCACTGGCCGAGCCAAGCTGCTGCCTGAGGAGGGTCACCTGGAGGGGAGCGAAGAACGGGACCGATCAGATGGTTCTACTGGACTTCACTTACAGCTTTACATTAGCAAACTTGAATTCTTTCATTATTTGTTTTATGCAAATTGAAAAAAAAAATTGAATCAAAAGCCCAGAGTTGAAAAAGTTAGCTCTACATACTACATTTATTTTAATATTTACATTTTTACAACCTCTACAGACTAGGAATTAGAAAGATGTTTCACCGAGCTGAATGTATCTCCCAGCAACTTGCTCCTATGTGTATCTTTTCTAAGCTGTGCTGCCTTTATTTTATTTTCCTTTTCAATCTCTATAATTTGTTTCCGTACTTGTCTTCTCTCTGCTCTGCATCAACACTGCCTGCAGTTCAGCTGAATGGACCCTGAATTCTTGTCACGTGACTTCTGACGTGACTCATAGCTTTGCAAAACGTCTTGTTTTTGTGTTTTGTTTTTAAGGTAAATGTCGAATTAAGTGATTTTGATCAAATATTACAATATTAAGTGCAGATTTAGACGTTAATTTTCCTGATGGAACTGCATGTCATGCACGATTAGTTCAAGGACTGTAGTAAAGTTGAAAATCTAACAATTCTTCTTAGACTAGGCCTCGCTAATCTTCATACTGAGATCCGGTACCGCTGTCTAAGATGGTTCAGACGTGTCCACCGTAATACTCAGTTCATCGACAAAATCAGGAACTTGGATGTCGCCGGAAAAAGAAAGCGGGGCGACCCAGGAAAACATGGGAGGAGCTGGTGTGAGGGGACCTAGTGGATTGAGGGCTAACCCCTAATGATGCCCTCGATAGGGATAGATGGTGAATGGAACTGCAAAGCAAGCGTGCATCGTCTGACACACTGCTAGTGTCCCAGCAGATGTTAACGGGATAAGTAAGTAAGTTTTTACAGTTTCTAGCTCTGATAAATGGTGTAATTTTGGTGTTTATTTTTTTGGTGAGACAACATGCATGTCAATCCTGCTTGCAGAGGTTTATGGATTCAAAGCGTTAACCAAACATAACTTTACATCGCTAAAGAAAAAAAAAGTAGAAAATTACAAAAACAAACCAACAAAAACCGACAGTTTCACTTAGATTTTAAGTCTTTGATTCGATGTTTCCTGACAATGAAATTGAAACTTCATGGTTTGGCTGATCCTCAAACAGAAACCGAGCTGGGATCTGGTGTAAAATGTTTATTTTTTTGGCTCATTTTTAAATACGACGTGTAGAATAAAGTGATTTCGATGAATAATCTTCCAAACAGAACCGCATGTCACACATGATGAGTTCAAGGACCATCAGAAAATCTGTAAATCCAAGGATTCTTTGTGTTTTCACAGTTTCTGGCTCTGATTAAATGGTGTCATTTTGGCGATTTTTAAAAGATATCATGTCTATCAAACCAAACAGTGAATTCAAAAGGTTAAAAATATTTTGAACGACAATTTCCAAGATGATAAATGCACCTGACTTCAACTCTCTACTTGAATAAGAACCTGAGAAGAGAAGTAACTGTGCTGCTTCTTGAGTAGAATATACAGTATTTAAATTCCTTTCTCTGGTCTCAACTTTTCCTAAAAGGTCTGTTACAGGTGTCTCGCCAGAACAGACACAGAAGAGGACGAGTCTGTCATTAGGACAGGAAGGAGGAAGGAAGATTATCAGCCCGACTGGGAGAAAGACAAAGAAACCAACCAACCAACCAACCACTCATCATCGTTTCAAGGCGTTTCTGGACTCAGCGAGTTCACCTGAATACACAAAATGTTTCTGCAGCACACCTATCTGGAAACATCGCCTTCAAATGGAAAGACGGACCTAAACACAACCGGAGACGAAGCAGCTCGTCTCAGTAAAAGTTTCCATCACACAAGTAAGAAAGTGAAGGAAAAACACCAGCAGAGAGAGTGAGTGTTATAATTGAGGTGGAGTTAATCTCCCGATGAAGACACTGGGAATGTTTTCCAGACAGCTGGAGATGCTGGCTCGCCTCCCTGGCCAGCCGTGGTGGGTCTACAGCGCCCTCTGGTGGCTGAAACCAGAGCTGCAGCTTCATTTTCCCAGAAAACACAAGTTCTCTGAGTTCATAAATGATTTATTCCATCTCAGATCATCAGGGGCCTTCTGCTTGACCATCTTTGACTTGCTTGAACTTTTTCTTATCAGAAACTATGCATATTTAAAATTATATTCATGAGATGTTAGATTGATATAGCAAATATTTTCATGTCGACCCATTTTCAGCATGTTTTTTTATTTGCACATTGAAAGTTGAGGCTATGTTTGGACGACATTATTTCAGGAACTAATAAAGACAAAAGCCTGATTTTTTTACTGTTATTTCTTTTTATGTCATTGATTTAGAATCTGCAATATTAGACAAGTAGATCAAATGGCTGATTATGGGGGAGTTGAAATCTGAAAAAAGGTTGAAGCCATCACGAAAACTCTTACAAAAAATTCATAGTTCAGAAACCAACTAGTGATATTTTCTGAACCACATGCAGCCACATAACATGTACCACAGTTTTTAATATGAGATACTTGGTCATAAAAACAAACAAAAAAGGGAGTTATTTTTATGTTAACCTTTGAGTAGGAATGAAAAGTTACACCAAAAAAAACAATAAACTTCTAGATCGTCTAATCCAAGTGCAGTTTGAAAATAGTACTCCAAAAATACAAAATAAAATCCCTTTTTAAAAAAAAATAAAAATAAAATAAAATAAAAGAGTATATTTTTCATTCTTGGACTCATGATGGCTTCAGTTTTTTCAGATTTCAACTCACCCACTATCAGAGACTGTTTGACTCATATTTGATCAATATATTGCAAATTCTAAATCAATGTTTGTATTTTATTTTTGTGAAGGTATTCTATACGTTTTCCTTTATGTTATTGTGACATGCAGCTACGCGTGGTTCAGAAAATATCACTAGTTGCCAACTTAAATCGGTTTTAACGTGAGCTCAAAGATGAGACTTTTTATGTCTGCTTCAGATTTCTTTCATATTTCAATTCGCCTCTTAATCAGGGATGATTTGATCTACTTGTCCAATGTTCCAGATTCTGAATTAATGACATGAAGATAAATAACTGAGAAAATTTCAGGCTTTTATCTTTAATATTTTTCTCAGATATTCTCATTTGAACATAGGCTCAAATCTAAACGTGCAAAAAACATGCTGAAAGTGGTTCAAAGTGAAATTTTCATATCTAAAAGTAATGGATGTATCAAGCTAAAATGTGACAAACGTCATTACAAATATCTACATTTTATGCTATTAACTTTCAGAAAGTCTTGATGATTGGACACAGAATGATCCAAATGCAACTCCTCAGTCATTTTATGTGTCAGAAATCAAAGCGAATGACTTTCCGCTCACCGTATTCTCCGAACATGAGCAGCGTCCACTGCTTGTACTCCACCAGTTTGGACACCAGCTTGACAGCGAGCCAGATGACCAGCATCCCCAGCGTCGCGTCCAACAGGAAGTTCATCAGATACCTTGGGTAAAAACGGGAAATTCCATTACTGCCGATACATCCTGTTGTCGTGTCCCACATTTCTGTAACCCGCGAGTAAACAACTCACAGGGAGCACGGGTCCTCTTTGGTCAGAGTGGACAGGAAGACGTTGGCAAAGTGGATGAATAAAGCACCGATGGCCTGTTTGGACGTATCGAAGAACCTGGAAAAGATACAACGGAGCGAGTTAGATTTAAATATCCTGGGTTTGAGTTTCCTAGTCTATATTTTTGCATGTGTAGGAATGTGTTCTCAAACATTTTCTTGTCGGGAAACTTCAAAATAACCTTCACAGAGTTGACAGAAGGTCATTATTTGAGAAGATTTTGTAAATAACTATGATTTCATATGTCCACATATGTTTTAATGCCAACGTTTGAAGATATAAGGACAGAAATTGAGGGAGAACAGATGAGTTTCTGACCAGATCCTCCACGGCCGTCTGATCCCAACAGGCTCCCGGAACCTCTTCACTGCAAAACAAAATAAAAGTCGATCAATTAATCAATAGCGGCACAAGACACGTTGTCCTGCAAAACAACATAAAGGGCTTTTTTTTTTTGCAGCTTGTTTCCCCTCCTTCATATTTGTCTCTGCAGGGGGAGAAGACGGATGAAACGTTATCGTCCCGGTTTCTTCGTTTCTCCCCACCGGGCTCCGGGTGAACAGGCGCCTACTGTTCGTTTATCTCGTCATCTCGCAAGGTCAGAGAACGTGACTGTGCATGTGAGAACAGGACGGAGGCTTCCTGTAGATGTGTGCTACATGTGTACGCCACATTCTTCATCCAGAACGGGTTTATTAGCAGTTTTAGGCAGAGATTTTTTCTCCTTTGTTCTTGAAAAAAAACTCAGAAAACATAAAAACCCAACTGAAGCGCCATCATGAGCACTGCAAACCAACAGGCAGCGATACAACCCTGATAATAAGAGCCTGAACAACACCGTTACTGGTTCCACTTGGCCTCCAAATATGGCTTTTTACATACGTAGACATAAATGTACAGTTACTGGTCGACTATTTTTAGGAACACAGGTGACAGAATGAGTCCACAGGTATTATTCTCTCCATCCTTGATGCACCGTCGTTGGTCGCCTGCTAGGATCTGCTTTCAAGCTCCTGAATGACCAACATGTCTTAATAATTATACGGTTCAATCCCCTCATATTGTTTTGACATCCTCTTGGTAGTGCTTCAGTTGGGTTTTTGCATTCTAATTTGAGCAGGTGCTTTCTTTGTAGGAGCAAAGGAGGAAAAATCCAGTTTTTTTGTTTTGTTTTAAAAAAAAAAAAAAAAACACGTACATGTGGACAAGGCCTTGGTTTGTTTCGGCATAAGGCATGAATTAATACAACCTGGTCTACTGAGTTAGGTAAACTGCACAACAGAAGATGTTTTTTCAAGCATTTTAGTGTACTTTTTAACCCTCTATCTGTACTTTTCAAACTTTTTAAATCACCTAAAGCAGCCTCATTATATTTGTAGGAATGACTCAAATACAAAACACCAAAAAAAAAAAAGTTTGCTGATTTCAATGTCTCAAAAACTGAACATGTCAGTATTTTTATGGGGTTTAATCTGGCACTAACCTGCATTTCTGTCTGTTCTGCAGGTGGTTGATTGGTGTGATTTTGAAGACCTGCAGCGCCCAGCATGTTAGTCGCTTATTTAAACCCTACCTGCAGTCTGCAACACGCTCTCTGTTGCCTGAGTTCATCCTTATTCTCCTTTTTTTTTTTACACCTTACAGACACCTGCACTCACAGATTTCACTCATGGACAACAACGACTTCACAGATATTTAATTGGACCTGATAAAAATATTCTTGTAGTCATTATCCGCTCAGTGTGTCTCCCTCTAGATGGGAGTTAGGTCATAACAGAGCAAAAATAGCTGTTTTTTTTTTTGGGTGAAGTGTCATGAGCAAGTTTCATTGTTTTCTTACATTTTTGAGCTAAACAGCTGCTATATCACCTGTGAAAAATAAATTAATCAGCAGCGGCAACCCTAGATTGCTTTAAAATCTATATTTGTCAGAAAATGAAGACGTAAGGATGTTACACGTGTTAAAATAATGTTTAGTAAGCATGCAGAAAGTGGGTCAAAGTTCTCTCATAACAGAATTAAACAACAGGCATTGCACAAATTAGAGAAAGTTTCTCCACATTCGCTGTGAAACTAACTTTTCAAACTGTTTGGCACTAAAGAACTGCAGCGAACTGAAGCTCCAGCCCTCGTCTGACTTATGTAAGTGGAGAGTCAGTGGAAGGAAACTTCCAAAAATAGTTTTTGAGGAAGACAGATCAGCAGAGGGATGCACGGTGCAGGCGTGGCTGCGAAACTGGCATCTGGCTGCTGCTATCGCAGGTGAAGAGCTCTTAACGCTGCACCGCACATTAATAATGCAGCGCCAAGATTAACAGCCGCACGAGCTTTGATCAAGAATGACACCTGCAAGCACTCAGAGCTGGAGAGAGGAACAACAACAGACAGAGAGGAGGGAGGTATCGATTCCTCGACTAATAAGTAACTGAGTGGAGGTTAGAGCTCATTGATTTCACTCCCCCTCAAGGCCCGGCCTAATTCTGCAACACCTCACTGATCTGAGGATCCAGCTGCACTGAACCCTGATTAGCCGAAGAAATCACTGTGAGCGCAGCCACCGAGGAGCCTGGTTCAAAGTTTACAGCTTTAATCACACAAGTCAAAGAGAAAACCATGCACTACAACAAGCAAAAACAAGTTCAGAAATGGCCTTAAGTTACAAAAAAAAGGATGCAGTTTTCGGTGCCAGCTGCACCTTTCTTCTGCAGAAGTCGAGAACATGGCCTGAAGTGTCAGAGCTGGTAAGATGCTCCACATTCTCTGAGTCAGCTGCCACAGAATCACAAGTTTGTGAGCAGCCAGTGGCCATTGTTCAGCCTGAGGAAACGCACAGTGTGGTGCACAAGGAGCATCTTGTTCAGCTGTTAAAGCAGATATGGAAAAACACTGTGGAGGTAGCTGAAAATCTCAGATTACACCCAACACAAAACCGTGACTCAAAGTCAGACATGAAGTTTGTGTGAAGTTTAAATCACTTATAATTCTATGGATTCATTGAGAAACACTATATGCCATGTTTGATAAATAAATCCCACTAAGTACACATAGGTGCAGTGTGTTATTGTGCTGCTAGAATGCATTTTTTGAGTCCTGGAACCCAAATATGCCATTCTGTGACTCTGACGACACTTCCTTTACAAACACCGCAATTTAGGAAGCTGCTTCACTTGTGGGCACACACATGGCAATTTTCTGGTCTACCTTTGGTATTAAATGCTAATTTGGGTGTTGAAGTTAAATTCGGCGTATAGATTGACAAGAAAACACGCGTGGTTTTATTGACAAATAACCTGAATATATGGTTGACACAGTTCGCTGACGCACACAGCAGCTGCTTAGTTTGCGGACGTGGACGTTGTTTATTGCGGTAGGAATCAACAAAAAAGCTAATATTTCTTTCAAAAAACAGATTTTTACACCTCGATGTGTAGGCCGAAATAAAAAGACAGTCCTTCTTAGTGAGGATATGTTTGAAAAAGTTTGCTATATGGTAAGATTTCTTTCCGAAAAGAAGTTAATATCAAATTAGCATGTTTTGACAATGGAGTTCGGTGCGAAGCCAATGAGGCTCCGTGGAAACAAACGTCAACAAAACGCCACGTGGACCAGCAAAGCGCCTTTAAATGCACGTTTGTGCTCTTTCATCACCTGCAGGTCCGAATAAACACCAACGTGGGTGCTTCTAACGTGGTTTCTGGGTGGTGTTTTGATACGCTACTCACACATCAGCGTGCTGAAGGCGACGATGGCCAGCAGCCCCTGGATCAGGACGCCGAACCGGTCGGTCAGGGCTCCGTTGTCGCAGCCGTGAGGGTTCGCCTTGTTGATGTCGGTCATGTTGATCACCTCAAACGGGGGGTTGTCCAGGAACCTCTTGACCAAAAACACCCCGCTGTATCCGTACATGTCCATGGTGGAGGAAAGACCGTTGGGAGACAAAAGCAGCTGGAGGAGCGGAGCCTTTAAAAACAAACACAAGCGTCCGATTCTCTTGGAGGTTTACGCGGATCGATTCAACCAGAGTCCCGCTTCAGTGTTTCCAGCTGCTCAAGTTACATCTCTGGATGTCAAAGCAAACAGCGGGATCGATTTTCTGACTCACATCCATGTTTTTAACAACGAAAACAAGAAATGTGAAGCGCGCAACCGCACAGACTGACTTCCGGTGGTGGCGTTTTCAAAATAAAAGCACCCTTCCGTTTCCTTTTAGAGAAGCTTGGCAGAGTTACAGAAGGATTAACCTTTTTACAAAGTGCCCTGTGACCCGATTTATTTCACGTTACGTCCTGTAAACGTTACATAATTTGATGTCATTTTAAGCCTTACATTTGGGAGACAGCAACAATAGCAGAGACAATATTTTCCCCCTAAATGGGATGGCACAATGTTATTTAAAGCAAGTCTCCGTAATCCTGCAAATGTATTTATACAGCGCCTCATCATACACAAAGGCCATTCAAAGTTATTTACAGACAAATGCAAAAAAATAAATAAAAAATAAAGGGTAAAATACAAAATACAGCAGGAAAAAAATTCAAATAAACCAAAAAGTGCAGAGACTTGAATATCGTGCATGCAGATTTTTGTTGAGTTAAAACTGATTGATTAAAGTTAGACCATATTTTATACCGAAACTGAATGTTTAAAATCAATGGAGACCCAATCTATCTTTAGCTTACATTCGGGGCAAACCTAAGCTCCAAGCTGATCTGGTTCCAGCAGCATAATGAGTAACGTGACCTTTGACCCGGTCCGGTCTGAACTCTGGGCTCAACGAGGTGACCTGCAGATCTGAGCGGTTTTCCAGGCTTCAGCAAAAACAAATCTGCATCCAGAGATTTACGGACAGTAAGCACGAGCCGTAAACTCAATTCTATGTTTACCTGGAAGTCAGTTTTCTTGGTGTTCAGCAGCACTTTGAATGATTTGCAAACGTCTACCAGACTCCACCGTGCAGGTAATAGAAGCATTAATGTGTTTTTCTAAATCTTGTTTCAACACAAAGATGCCCGCCTGAGAATTTAGTTACAGCTTTTGACTTAGACTAGCTCCTCCAACCTGCACCTTTACTGTCTTCTTTTGTTTCTTCCAGTTTTTGTTTTTTTTATTTTGAAGTGAAACGTGTCCAAACTTCCTGTTTTCGCGCCACTTAATTGATGCAGCTCTTGCAGCAGAATTCCTTGAATGTGCGCGAGGCCGCTCCAGAGGCTCGTCGCTTTGTGCCAGCGACACCAGGTGACGCGCAACGAGCCCGAGAGGCAAATCCCAGCCTGCTGTAGAGCTGTAACAAAGGAAATCTTTAGATTCTGCATCTTCAAGGAGGTGCAAGTCAATCTGAGCTAAACAACAAGGTGGTATTTGCATATAATCAGAATAATAAGAGGCAGGCAGGTTGTGGGATTTCTAAATTGCAAAGGCAGCTGATGTGTGCCAGTTTAGAGACTTACCTGGAGCCTCAGGTGGGCCCAGAGCCAACACGGACAGACCTGACGTTAATGTGCTTACAAGACTATTGAGTTAAAAGAAAAAGTGGACAAAATCTGCGCCGCATGAGCCCCTCTGTCATCATAATTGCACACAATAAGGTAAAAATGTGGACTTTACGCACACAATATTAACGATTCTACATAAAACAAAGCGTTTCTACAAGAATGTGAGGATGATAAATGCTCAGCAGCAGAGTCCACACCGCAAATCATCATATTTACTCACATCACAGCATCAGCTTATTATTATTAAACTACCAGAACTGTGCCTTACACGTCTTTTTTAATAACTAAACTGACCTAATTTCTGAATAACCTGCTGCACCCTCTATTCTACTCACTCTCCTTGGAGACTGTTTGTTTTACGCACGGATTTTGGTTGCCAACTATCCGCCACCAGGTGATTCCACTCAGGTGTGGCTGGTTGGACAGATTCTCAAAGCAATCATAACCGCCTAATTAAGCAAATTAATCGCTTTATTATACAATATTAGAAAAAAAACCGCACATAGAAATCCAGACTGTCGTTTGGCGATTTGGAGAATTTTACGCACAGTGTCGCCAAAAACAAAACAAAACAAAACAAAAAAAACGGTCTTCTGCTGCGGATTCGTGCACGAGTCGCACGTGTCCATGCGTGTGCATGTGTGTGTGTTAGTGTGTGTCTGTTTTAGTGTAAAAGGCATAATCCTTTCTCCCGCGCGCTTGGAAAAGCTTCTTCTGTGGCAGATTAATGGCGCAGCTTCAACCATCTGTTCCACGAGCGGCTCCAGTCACAGCAGCAGACAGCCGCCTCTCCTGCGTCTCTTTATGAGTCCTTTGTGTCTTTATGAATCAGATCCGCAGCATGTAAACACGCCGCGCAGCTTCAGCGCTGCACGTTTCTGAGAAAGACCCTTATTACGGTTACGCACGACAGTTTCATCATTTCTTATAATGCGAACATCAAAAAAAAAAAAAAAATAAAAATCCGTGATTTTTTTGGGGGGGGATGTCGGTGTAGATTCTCAGTCATCCAGGTCACTGTGTACCTAACAGCTCTGGTAAAAAGCAGCAGAACGTTTCTTTTTTGAAGATATTTCACTTGGATGAGAAGTGAAACATCTTTAAAAAAAAATAAGTTTAGTTGTTTTTTTCGCCTCCTCAATGTCAGCTTACACTGTAAAAAGTCAATCTGAGCTGCAGTTGAAGTAAACAGAGTCTCATTTATATTTCTGCACTGTAAAAAAAATGATTTTTAACACTTTTAAACTGCAATTTTTAAAAATATTTACTGTTATATTACAGATTTTTCCCCCCATTTTGTTGAATAACAGACAAGAACTACTAAAGTCACACAGAAAAGTGTTAATTTACATGTTAGTCCTTAAAATAAATTTTAAAAAATGTCCACATGAAAAGTCTGTATCCTACAAACTCTAATTTGCTCTTTCACAACGTTTGACTGTAAAATTACACATTAACTGCATTTAAAGGAGCAAAAACTCAATTATTTTACAGATTTGGTTTTTTGAAAGAAAAGGGTTAAATTAAGCAGTAAAAAATGGTAAAGAACCTTTTTTAACTGTTAGTATACAGACTTCCCCTGTTTCACCTAATTACAGATATTTGGTAAAATCACAGAAAAAAGTCACAATTTACAGATTGACTGTAAAAACAAATGTAAATACTGATTTAATTAAACTTACTGACTTTAACTGTATCTAAATCTACCAAAAATCTAATTATTTTACAGATATTTGATATTATTTTCACAGTTTTTCAACATTACAGTGTTGCACCATTTTGTTTTTTTAATGTTTTTTCCTGGCAATGCTACTCATCTCATAGTTCCTCATAGTTGAAGAGCAATACATGCTGCTGGCTTTAAAGTTTAACTGGAAGGTTTTCTGAGATGTAAATATGTGGAAATGTGCACAATACCACATGAAAAGAACCCAAAAGCTAACAAAAGCTTAAAATATAAACTTAATTCTATGTGAAATAAGTGTTTTTTTATTCTCACATTCAATATTCCTTTCATCCAGTTAATCAGAAACACTTTGCAGCTGATGGTTTAGTTTTTTAAGCAAAATCTGTCAACCACGTTTCAGGTTACTTACAGTTTATTCACATTGTTTGCAGAAGTTTAACCTGTGCTTCCCATTTTATAGATTCATTTTGTTAAAGGTCCTGCTCTGTTCTTAAAGGTGTGAATCTCAGTTGTGAAATATGAACTGTCTGAGGTTTGAATATGGCACAAATATTAAAAACCATCGTCCTTTTTGTTTCTGAAACTGCATAAATAACATGGTTCATGTGTCATATTTACATGTGCCCAGTGAGAACGCTATTGCATTCTCGTTTCATCAAGTTTCAGAAAAAGCTGAAGGGACTTTTGTGGTTCTTATTTCGGCGAGGGGGGGATTCCCAAAATGTGCTGCGTAATTAACCGATCCTCGGTTTATTCAGCTGCTCCTCCTAAAGAGTGAAGTTCCACGTTTCAAGAGGAACCGGCTTTCATTTCACTGAAGCCTGTTTTGGAAACTGCACCAACAAAGCTCGTTTTATAATCACAGAGCTGCGCAACTTTCGCTTTCTGTCGGTTCCAAAAAAAGAAAAAAGAAAGAAAGAAAAGAAAAGAAAAGAAAAAAAGAAAACGCTGACCGTTTCGCGCCATTAAACTTCCACCACACCGCCCGTCTGTCTCACCTGGACGAGCTCACCTGCACGGTGAGTCTGCGGCGTTAATATCTGACTGTTTGGGAAACTTTATGGAAGCATGCGCCAACCTTTGAGCCAAACGCATGACCGCCTGCCAGGAAAGGCGACGCGCTGCGCTTCCACCGCTAGAGGATACTGTTGACTTTGATAAGAGTTTGGAGCCGGATTATTTTAATGCAATCTAAAGGGGTTTTCTCAAGAGCTGCTTGGAAGGGGGAAAAATAAAGGGCGGAAAAGCCCGAAAAGTCATAAATTATTGACTTTTTGGGCTTATTTACGCGCATATGCGGCTGGTTATAATGAGGAAGAGGCCAGACTTGGTTCTTTCCACTTCCTTAAAAGTATGTTGACTTTTATAGATGTTAGGAGAAGAGATAGTTTATGTTTCTGTTCATATATTATAAAAACTAAAAGCTACAGATGGAGGAAAAATCCGAGCTGCAGCATCAAATAAATGCCTGTAATCACTACAAAAACCAGTTTGTATGGAGTCTAGCAGAAGTAGCTCCACATTATGTTTGCTCCTCATTATTTATGACTTTTTCTATTGTTTAAGGAAGTTTGCATTTCATTGCCCACACTGTAAAATGTGACAAATACAACCTGTGTAATCTTGATTAATTGCACCATGTTGAAGTGGAACCGTGATGCAATCTTGCACCGTTTTTACAGATCCTGACCTTTTGCATCACATCTTGCACATACTTCTTTTTTTAAACTCTTCTTTGTATATTCAAAAATTGAGGAAACTGGGAACTGCAGGATCAAATAAGTGCCTACAAACAGTCAGAGTTACTATGTTTTAATGTAGTTTTATCATATCTAGCAACAGCTGTGTCACAATGCTGTTTTTCCTCCATTTTTTTTCTAGTTTTTAAAGCATTTTTTAAATTTTCTGTCTTGTTTTCACACGGCTTTATGGATCGCTGGGGAATC